ATCAAATCACAAAGGCTTGCGAATCTACAATGATCCAAGCGGCGATAACGAAGAAGCAATACCAGGATTTATTCGCTGCGCATGAGAAGGAGAAGCAAAAGAAGAAGATACACCATGAAGGAGGAATTACTAGAGAAGAAGCGCAGGATCTCATGAGGTCAAGAGATCAAGTTGTCGAACCTCCAGTCAATGATCCTCCACAGTCTCAATTACCGGCCTCTCAACCACGCCAACGTGCGCCACAGAAGTGCAGTAACTGTGGTATTGTGGGCCATAATAGAGTTAGATGTCCTGAACATACTACAACTTAATTTTTGTATATAATTGCCATGTTGGGTAGAGAATTCAGCTTCAATTTCTATCTAGGAGACGCGTTTGGAGGTGGTGTCCGGCTCAGTGGTGTGTCCGGCTCGGGGGTGGATTACGTTATAGTAGTAAAGAGTTTAAATTTATATTAACCTTATTAAGTACTCTTATTAATAATTAAATACTTATAATAAAACTAGTTAGATTACTCTTAGTGCGACAGGCCACAATGGCTTCCATATGCAAGCCTCCTATTAAGGGTTATAAAGGATGTCATAATTAGGGAAAGGAAAGAAAGGAGCCTTTAGCTACAGGTTTAAGGAGACTAATATAAGTATATACTTAAGAGCTTATTTAATAAGCCAGTTAATTAAAAGTATAGTTAAAAGATTTAAGGAAAAAACCTATAAGATTTTATAAATTAGGATTTAAGGGCTTTAAGGCCTTATAAAGGTAAAACTTAAGCCTACCTCTTTAATAATAATATATCTAGTATTTTTAATATTAAGCTTTTTCTTTAGACTTTTTATAATAGGTTTAAATCCTATATAAGGTTAGCTATACTTTATGCCTAATATAATATTATAATATAAGGTTTAATAATAATTTATAATATCTTTTTAGGCCTATTATATAATTATTATGAAAGCTTATATAAAATCTAATAACGTATTTCCCGGCTGTTTCGATCACCCGGTTGCTCCGATCACTAGAATACCCATACAAAATGCGTTCTTTTGTACGCTCATACCACAATGTCTATATTATATCCTGGCCTTTAATTTTAAAATCAGATTATATATAGGTATAACTACTTGTAAGAGAAATATAAGGTTAATATTATATATATTGCTTTTTAGATACCTATTTTTTAATTTTACATAAAAATTACACTGTATTTTATATTATTCCAGTAAATAATAGAGTAGACTACTTCTGATTAATGCTGCATGCTGTAAATACTTTATAATTATAGTATATAAAATATCTCTTTAATATCTTTAAAGCTTGTTGAGATATGAGCGTACAAAAAAACGCATTTTGTATGGGTATTCTGGTGATCGGAGCAACCGGGTGATCGAAACAGCCGGGAAATACGTTAACTAGTTATTTAACTTATATTGGAGCTGAGTAAGCAATTCTGACCAATCACACATACTTCTCCACTCCACTTCGTCCGCGAAGTGTAGGAGATTATGGCGTTATGGTGCGTACTACTGGTAACGAACGGTGTACCTAATACTCTGTATTACTCCGTAAACATTGTTCCGTCAGTTGGCCAGGACTACGGAGATGTACCTCGACCTAAGGTCCCAAGTTCCTTCCAGCTCCCCACTCTGGATTCTTCATTTGCAGCTTCAGTAGTTATATGATGTTTGTGAAACTGAAGATTTTCTCACGATTTACAGGATGATCATCAATTAACCCGGTTGCTTCAGCGAAAACTCAGGTATACGAGACCGTCGTACCTTGGCCGACGTTCAAAGCGGGCCGTCGACTGTTAACTACGCCTCCGACAAGCTTCCTGGAACGATGACACTCTCGGGCCATAACAATATGAATGAAATGCCGGTGTCGCCTGCATACGGCACCACTTTTCTCGTCCTGATTCAGGTGGTATCGCGTGTCCTGACTTTTGCTTCTAACCAAATAGTACTGCGTCACCTGTCTCCAGAAATCTTAGGAGTTGCAACCCAGCTAGAGTTGTACTCTGTCTCAGTCTTATATTTTTCCAGAGAGTGCCTGCGGACGGTAATCCAGCGAGAGCCTCCGATTCATTCCACAACGGTCGCAACTAGCAGTAAAACTTCTAACGACAGTGCCGGAAATCTGTCGTCTCCTGACACAGTATTCGACTCGATTGCCTCTCAAACCGTTGTCAATATGTCGTATATATCCCTGGCTTTGGGGTTTCCATTAGTCGTGCTCTTTGCTTTATGCTACCTCTACTTGACTACCGAAGAGACCTCTCGAACGCCCTTCTTTCAAATCAGTCTGGGAATGATTGGATTTTCTTGTCTCTTCGAACTCGCCACAGAGCCTTTTTTTGCAGTGGTGCAGCAACACATGCTTTACAGAACACGAGCAGCTGTTGAAACAAGTGCTGCAGTCGCCAAGAGCTTCACAGTGTGCGCCATATCAACCTGGGCAGCTTGGGCGGGGTGGAACATTGGTGTTCTCCCATTTGCACTAGGTTATCTGGCATATTCTTTTGCTTTGATCTGTGGGTACATCTGGAAGATGGTTAGGAACTCTCCTGAGAAGAACTTTTCATTCCTGCTCACTCCTATACATTCAAGGTGAGTGACAAAAAAATCTTGTCAATTAAGACTGGTATATTGACCTGCCAAGAAATGGTTCAGAATACTTAGCAAACAGGTTTTCACGCCGGCTGATTTGGCTTGGTGCCAATGGATATCTACAATTGATCGTGAAACATTTACTCACACAAGGTGATTCCATGATCCTTGCTGCACTGTCAAGTCTAGAGGACCAAGGGATCTACTCACTGGTGTCAAACTATGGTGGCCTTGTCGCACGCATACTTTTTCAGCCTATCGAGGAGAGCAGTCGGAATCTGTTTGCAAGACTCCTCAATTCTGGAGGGACAAAGAATCATGATATAGGCGGTGTCAATGCTGCTAAATCCCATTTAATTGATGTATTACGGGCATACGGGATCCTCGCTGCCTTAACGTTCGCCATAGGACCGAGTGTTGTGCCGTTGGTTCTACATGTTTTGATTGGGCCTCGATGGATGTCTCCCAAGGTTGAGAGCTTGCTTTCAGCATACTGCTACTACATTCCCTTCTTGGCATTCAACGGCATCACAGAGGCCTTTGTATCCTCTGCAGTAAGCGCCTCTGACATGCGCAAACAAGCGGCTTGGATGGGGGCCTTTTCGGCGTGTTTTGCTGCAGTTTCATTTTTGCTTCTCCAGCTTGGAGGACGGGGGGCTCTCGGCCTAGTATGGGCAAACATCATCAACATGTCCATAAGAACAGTTTGGAGCTATCTCTTCATCAAAAAGTACCTCCGCCAGCACAAGAATGATTTGGCCATATCTGAGATCAGCCTTGAACGCGAAACCTACGGAATATGTGCGCTTATGTTATCTATAATGTCAGCAATCCGTCAATCTTCGGAAAAGAACTTTCATGACACCATGAGAATACTCAGTGTCGGAAGTGCATGTGCACTCCTGATGTAAGTGATCGGAAGACAAGTGCGAATACAAGATTCTAATACCAAGACAGTCTATATTCGGAAAGGCAATATCTAAGAAAACAATACAGCAAAATTCTCAGAATGGCAGCTAAGCGATAGGAAAAGAGAGGTCCAAATAAAATTGGAAAAGGGGAAAAAAAAAGCCATGACAGAGATGTCAATCATCAAACTTGATCTTTGTCGCTGATTTGGTAGTATCGACATCTCTATAAAAGGCACCATACACATCATGTTGCTTTTTCTTGACAGTGGCTCCGAACTTCAAGAGAGTTTCTGGCACATCTTGGTTAGCAGCCTTCAAGACATTAATCAAACTACAATGTCAGTTAGTATATATGCACTATATTCTCTGAAGACGTCTCATATATGTAGGTGGTAGCTGAGAATTTCAGGAAATTACTCACGCTCCAGAATGTGCTTTATCATTTTCAGTGAAGAGGGTAATGGCGTGGCCATCGGCTCCAGCACGACCTGTTCTGGATACTCACTGTCAGGGTCCTATTCTGCGACAGGGTTTCGGCTTTTTACTTACCTCCCAATACGATGGACATAATCTTCGATTGTTAGGGGAAAAGTCACATTGACAACTGTTTTCACTGCTGGTATATCGAGGCCCCGGGCTGCAACATCTGTAGCTACTAGGATGGTAACAGAACCAGACTTGAAAGCTTCTAAGCTTTTGACTCTGTCCTTTTGATTCAGATCACCATGTATACCAGCAACCTTGTAGCCCCTAGATTTAATAAGTCGCTCAACTCGCATGGCTTCTTTCTTGTACAGACAGAAGACCAATACTTTTTCCTGGCCAACAGAATTCCTCTGAAGGCGTTCAAGCACTTGGAGAAGCCTATTCTCTTTGTCTCGAGGGCTAATCACCTCGACAATCTGCCTTATCCTGGTATTTGCGCGAGGATCTGCGGACGGCTCCCCGCCGATGGTAATAGTAGCTGGAGAATTTGTGAATTTCTCGGCGAGATTTCTAACAGCAGCTGGCCAGGTTGCAGTGAACATCGCAGTTTGACGTCTAGAAACCGGCATGTGACTAATGATGTCCTTGATATCTTGCTCGAACCCTCTGTCCAACATCCGATCTGCTTCATCTAGAACAAGATATCTTATCTTTCCCAGATTTACCGAGCCCTCTCCTTGCAAATCTTTCAAGCGACCGGGTGTAGCGACAATTATAGTAGTTGTCTTCAAAGCTTCACGTTGTTCGTCCTTTTTCACTCCCCCGAAAATGCATGTGACTTGAATATTAACAAGAGTCGCGAATTTTTGCAGCTGGTCATGTATTTGCATGGCTAGCTCTCTTGTCGGGGTAAGGATGACGGCCTTTGGATGAGGTGAAGGTTTCCCATTGCTCTTCGAATCCATCATCTTTTTTAAACAGGGTAACCCAAAAGCAAGAGTCTTTCCACTTCCAGTTTCAGCAATACCGATAACATCACGACCAGCAAATAACAGAGGCCATGCTGCAGCTTGGACGGGTGTGGGTGCAGAGAATTCTTTCAACGGTCGATACAGATCTCCACTGCAGGCTGGCAGATAGTCAAAGGAAATGAGCGGGCGCATTATTGGGCTCTTCAACGACGGATCAGAGATCTCGATAGAATTGGACTTTAAGAATAGATCTATCTCTTCCTGAGGAAGAGCAGCAAGCGAAGGGGGCTGCACATAGTCGATGCTATTGTTCTTTTTGCTTTTTCCGGCACCTTCTAAATTTTCCTTGGTTCGTTTTTTGGATTTTCGGCCTGTTTTTGACTTCTTCCTAGGAGGACTATGCTCCAAGGGAGCCTCTCGTTTCGACATGGGTGATCGGAATAGGCTATCTCCACCAAATAAACGTTGAGTTGAATGCGACAATGAGCTCTGACAGCAGGTTGCTGTACGTATATTATTTTATTTCTTCCCATGTGGGTCTGAACGTCAATACGGTGTATTCTTTCTGCCATGCCAGACCGCTAACTAGTACGGAGTACAGAATCAAAGGTTTCTAAATTGTGTTACGGAGTACTCCATACCAAACTTTGAATTTTCACTGCTGCATAGTTATTATCCTCCCCCTTCCTTCACCTCCTTTCCTTCGTAGAAGACATCGGTTGATATGATATTGATGTAAAAAATGACATCATTCAAATTCGGAAGATACCAGTTTTGCCCACCACCTATCATCTGACTATTAGAAAACACAACCTTGTATATTTTACAGGAATGCACTATTAGGGTTGCCAACGCATTTAGATATGTACTGCGATCGCGTCCTCTGTACGGAGTACAAAAAAGAGCTAACTTAATTCTCCATGGTGGAAAATACGTAAGAAATTTTTGGTACTGTTTCTTCTTGACTTCAAACCACCAGCTATTATTGGTCAACTTCTGCTTAATTATTATTACCCTGATAATCTTGATTATCAACTTCTTTAGTTGAGTAACCCAACTTTATTAAATAATTCTCTCCCATGTATAAAATATAAAACTGGCGTCACTTCACCAAACTGACAATAGGAGCAGGTCACATGAATGTTGCCAGAGATAATGAAAGGGCGTTGAGACAGACTCTCATTCAGCTAGTCAACAAAGACAGCCAGGCATGAAATTATACAGCCTTGTGGAGGCCGTTCGACATTGAGATGCAACATATTTGGAACAGAGCCTCCATTTTCCTGGTCATGCCATGGGCTTCAAGCAAGCGTATTTCTTATTCTCTGTTGCGGATCAAACAAATATTGGAGTCGATAAGATATCCACCCTTAGCGGGCACGCTGCGGGATACGACGACGCAGCAAGGACGAGTCCCGGTAGCGCGCTTCCAAGTTCCTACAACCTCTGCATCACCCACCCTTTTCTCTAAATTCCTCTTTCCTTTGGCCTTTCCTTTTGGCCTCTCCTTTGGGGATAATCATAATGCTCTCTGGCCCACAGGCACTGCCGGTGAGACAGTATAATCATCTATTCCTTCCTTTGCTCTCTGGAGACATTTCTACATTCACTAGTATTTCCTTGCTCGGCTACAGGTTTACTATCTCCCGTCGTTCACTAGAGTTTCCTTGTTTATATAGATAGAGAGGGTAGGGTAGGCAGGGCGCCCCACAGACAGCTGACTCACTGCCTGATGCGACCTTCCGGCACTTGGTCGATTGGACCAACAGACCCATGTAGGAATTAATCAGTCAATCAATGATATCCAAGCTAGTCTTGAATTTCTAACCCTCTTATTGTGCTGTGTTACCTCATCCAACCAATTGATTTGCAACATGTACTCTGATTACAAGGCTGTCCCAACACTACTACATGTATGTATTTCTAGGTGTACAGTTACTAGCTGCTGTTATTTGCATTAGTGGTATCCTATATCCATTTACAAAGCCAGCAGTTCCTGATCCTACTCGAGTGACCTGTAAGAATTCGGTTCATCGCACTACTATTTTTAATTCGGTAAAACAGTCGGCCTTGCTGCCCAAAAGTACTAGACACTGGATGTTCCATTAGCAGTAACCTTTTTGGGGGAGGGTGGCTGGCTGCTTGTTGCACTTATCTGTCCTTGTCAATGTCTATTTAGTTGAGACAGACTTGTGGATTCATTTTACTCTGATCTACTACATGTAGATAGTACTAGTCTGTTCTAGCGTCAGCAATGGGTGTAACTGATGCTATCTTCAGACAGTTCTTTCATTCTTGTTTTAATCAGGCACCTAATGGATTCCTTTTTTTTAAGAACTGCACTAGAATGACAGGCTTTTGGACAAATGAGGATCTCCAGGACCAATACCCGTATTAAAAAAAAGACATCTGCCGCCTAGTATCTAAGAGGGAAAAGAGGCCATAGCAAACAGAAAGGAAATAAAAACGAGAAATCGTACTAGCACAAAAAAACAAGACAGAGTGGAGGTAAATTCATCCGGGACAAATACAACCATTCTGTCTCACTCAATATTGTAGGATCTGATCAAGTCTGCGAGACGCGAGGCCTCTTCTGAATAGCCGATGGGCTTGGCAGATGAGACCTGGTACCGAACACTAACTAGTAGTCAGTATGACAGTAATGCTGAATACCGTGAAGCAATCATACTCCAACACTTACCGCTGTTGGTCACCGAAATGGTCTGTTTTTGCTTTACACCGGAAGTTCCACATGCGACAGTGCGCTTCCTGGAAAATCTCACCAGCAGCCTTCTCATCCTCTGCTTTGATTTCCATGAGATGGTCGGCAGTAGTACCCATCACGAGTCTCCCAACTTCATCAAAACAGCTCAGCCAGAGCTGTCCGGTGTGATCGCTGACATTAATGAGCATTATGTAGCGGTATTCTGGTCTGGGATATGTCTTATCGCATCGTTCGCAGCGCCACTGACCAGGGTCAAGCTCGGTGACTTTCTTGTTGCAACCTTGAGAGGGGCACGCGGGATAGCTCACGTTATCCTGTTTGATGTAAATGATAGTCGCCTTAAGGGAAAAGAAGTCTGCATCTTCAGACATGCCTAACTGTTCCTCTCGAATTTGTGCTATGGTCTTATACTGGTCAAGTCTCCCATTGCCAGTCGTCGATGCGCTTGACATTGAAGCATAGGAGGTGAAGGTGTCAGAGCGGCCTTGTGCGTCATACCATCCTTTAAGCTTATGCGCTTCTTCGATGTCCGGATCCACTGTCATTGTGCCTGAGCTCAGCAAACTCAAGCTTCTCCCTCCAAAATCAGACACTTTAACGCCCTTGAATGCGACTACTGACTCAGGCATGACGTTGAAATTTGTGGCCGTAGAACCCCAAACCGTCAAGCGAACAGAGAATCCCGTGTTGTCGACTAAAGTGAGCTCACGTTTTTCATAGGGCTTGTTAGTGGTCTTCGAAGTAATCTGAGTTGTTTCCCCAACATCTTTCAGTATTCCAATCACATCAATTGTGGTGTCCTTTTCAACAGACTGCAAGTCGCCGATGCTAGTGAAGTTAAATCGAATCTGAGGAACATCGTGTTGATCCTCTGCCTATCCATCTCATTAGTTTTAAGTGCACAAGCCATGGTCCAGAAGTCTTACCTTCTCCACGATTGTGTCTTTCTCAAAGGTCAGTTCGTAGTCGTTGCTGAGATTTGAAAACTGCTTTTTGGCAATCTGAACACGGCAAGGGCTCGATATATAGTATACGGAGCCTTCCTGGAAGAGATCATAAAGCATGTCACATTGCTCGTTGAATGCAGTAGCGCGGATCTCGCCACTATCATCCAGAAGATTGACGCTGAAAAGTTTTCCTTCCGAATTACTGTGATGCCATGTTTTAATATTCGACTTGCTGGTGCATCGTGCCTTGATGGTCCATTTATGGGAGTACGGAGAGATGGCCTCAATTGGATATATCGTAGCGTGAGCCGAAGTCGACAACGGCCGTGCTTGTTCTGGTCGAATGCTACCCTGTGCGCGTGTATTTTGGGCTTTTGTACCATAGAATCCATTAGTAGAGATCGTAGTCGGCTGGTTCTTTTCATCGTCCTCTGCCTTGGATTCCAGTGGCTTTGGGTCACCGATTTTCTCACACTCCCCTAGTTCCGTAAGAACCTCGAGGTCAAGAACTATGAGAATTCTGATATTGTTAGATAGCTTAGCGCAAATTTGTGTGATTTAGATCGCCTCACTTTTTCCCCTTGACTGCGTTTGCTTGGAAAGATTTGAGTCGAACAAAACATCCCTTCCGAAGAATCCCATCTGTCACAAAATGATTGGCTTCTAATTAAAATTAACTGTTAGTAAAGGTTTTTGGCCTAATTTGGCATTTGAGAATCAGAAGATGTTACTTACGAGTAGCAAGCATGGTCTGGACATAGTTGTAAATGTCACTGAATACAGCCCTGTATCGTTCCTGACCATTTGGTTGAGGAGGAAGCGGCTTGATCTGTACGCATTGGACGATGGGCTCACGCTCGGCGATTTTACTATCATCGAATATTGCGCTTCAAAAACAAACAGGTTAGTAGCAGAGGCGCATAACATTGTGAGTTCATTTAAATATTACCTCAAGGATCCAACAGAGATATGAGAGGCCAAGTTAGATGCCATTGCTGGAATTTATTGTGAAAGATGCCAGACTTCTTTCGTGTAAAATAATAATGAGACTTGAACAGCGATGCTGGAAAGATACTGAACATTCAAAGATCACTTAGTGCGGGGAACACGAATGTGGACGCGTTACAGCGCGACTGCACGCGTTTAAATGGTTCTGTTTTTAGCCTGTTCCACACGCCAAAAGTTTATGCGTCATACCTATACCCCGCTGCAAAAGAACTACCTACCTACGGAATACTCCATACCTAGGTAATGGCTAGCTCCTTCCAATTTCTAATAACTACCCAACATCATTGCCACAGCTTGCAAGCAATTGTGGACTCAAAGAAACCAAGCCCCATTACATGATTATTTTCTTTCCTTTTTTTTATTGCACATATCATCCTTATTTTCAGGTCAAAGTCCAACGCCTCAATACTCCCTAGAGAGAAGTCATCCCCAGAACCGAAAGCGTTTTGAAAATGGTCGGGTGTTCTCATATCAATGCTCCAGGTTAGTAAAGCCAAAGGCCTTGCATTTTGTAAATCCTTTAAATCAGCTGAAAGATAAATTAACTGTCGTTCCGCTCCCAGAGATTCGCCCGCCAAATGCATCACAGGCAGTCTATCGAGAGGATTGCACTCAGTGTTTTGACTCCATTGTAAGTAATAGGGCATGGGAAACCTAGGACGGCATCTTAATCAGAGTGTTTTAACTGTGGCTAGGATGATCCATCAGGCTTGAATGTTTGCCTTTATTGCTTTAACGGCGGATGTGCTGGTAACAGAAACCATGCCTACCTTCACAGTACACGTACAGGCCATCCTTTGGTCCTAAACATCAAAAGAACGCGAAAGAAGATTCAGGTTTGTCCCAAAAAATGTATCACAATGAAAGTACCTTGTCCATAAGCTGATAGCCACAGCGTGATGAGCCTCCACAGAAAATGTCGAAACTTGCAATTGCTGCAGAGACAGAGGAAGACCGTTATGATACTACAACAAGGGTTCTGTGTTACTCATGTCGAGAAGACAACATTGATAAGTCCATGGGCAAGCTACCTGTGGTAATTGATGGAGTTATGAAGGCTCTGACCTTCTCTAAGCGCGAAGAAATCAAAGCATGGGAACAGGAGTTTGTGCCATGTGAGCATACTTTGTGCTTGACACAGCAGGACCGCAAAGAAATTGTGCCTTCAGGTAATGAAATGTTTTCCTTAACAATCCTGATCTTCTGAATCGCCTCTCACAATATCTTAGACCTAGGCCAGTGCTCAATGTGTGATCTGAGAGAGAACCTCTGGCTCTGTTTAGAGTGCGGCAATATCGGTTGTGGAAGGAGACAGTTTGGTGGTATAGGGGGGAACTCCCATGCCCTGGCGCATGCTGATTGTTCTTCCCATAGTGTAGCAGTCAAGCTTGGCTCAATTACAGCTGAAGGAGAAGCTGACATATACTGCTACAAATGCAATGAGGAACGAACAGATCCAAATCTTGCAGAGCATCTCGCCCATTGGGGTATCAATATTGCTGAACGTGAGAAGACAGAGAAAAGTCTGATGGAGATGCAAATTGAGCACAACCTAAAATGGGAGTTCTCCATGACTACTGAGGATGGACACGAATTAGAACCAATATTCGGTCCCGGTTTCACAGGTCTGAAAAACTTGGGCAACAGTTGCTATCTTTCAAGTATCATCCAGTGCCTTTTTTCTTTGCCGGAATTTCAGCAAAGATACTATCATCCAGATGAGGAGCCTCCACTAAGCCGCTCCCCAGCTGAGGATTTTGAAACACAGATGCGAAAACTTGCTGATGGAATATTATCTGGCCGATACTCTAAGCCAGACACTGAAGTGATATCCACACCTGATTCTTCTGAAGTTCCTCATCAGAGAGGCTTAGCACCTACCATGTTCAAGCACCTGGTAGGTCGTGGCCATCAAGAGTTCTCAACGATGCGGCAACAAGACGCCTTTGAATTTTTACTACATCTTTTCAAGCTTATTAGCCTATCGAGACATCCAGAGGGCTTGGTCAACCCTGTTGACGCATTTCGATTCACACTCGAACAGCGACTACAGTGCATCTCATGCGGAAGAGTGCGTTATAAGGTTGATGAACAGGACAATATCTCTGTTCAAGTTCCTGCTCGTCGATCAGCAGGTTCGGCAGTTTCTGGCAGCGGTTCGGAGAAAGATGCCGTGTTATATGAGCGGGTGACTTTAAGAGAATGTCTTGATATTTTCACAGCAGAGGAGACAGTTGAGCTGCGCTGCCCAAGCTGTGGTAATAGCGATGGCTTTCGCAAGCGCTCTCTCTTCAAGACTCTCCCACAGGAATTCGTCATCAACGCGCGACGCTTTGAATTAATCAATTGGGTGCCTACCAAACTAAACATTCCAGTTGAAGTTGATGATGAACAACTGGATCTCAGCCCTTACTTGTCTTCTGGGCAGCAGCCAGGTGAAGAATTACTGCCAGATGAGCCTGAACAGAAGGGTGCTGGCTTCACTGCAAATCAAGCTGCTCTCGACCAGCTTTTGAGCATGGGATTTCCTCAAGTGAGGTGTGAAAAGGCACTTCAAGCGACAGGGAACTCTGATGTAGAAAGCGCAATGAATTGGCTCTTTGCCCATATGGATGATCCGGACATCGATGAGCCAATGGCTCCTCGAGCTGAGGAAAGCTCATTGGACCAACACGATCCAGCGAAAATTGCGCAGCTTAGTGAAATGGGTATTGACAGCAATCGGGCTCGGCAAGCACTTGCAGCCACTGGCGGAGATGTTAACAGGGCATTGGACTGGGTTTTCAGCCACCCTGACAACTTGGAGGCCGAGGCCGGTGAGAGTGAGCAACTACCCAACCTCTCTAATGTTCAGAAGCTTCCTGGTACCGACGCTATTCCAGCGAAATACCAGCTCCAATCGATCGTTTGTCATAAAGGGTCTTCCGTCCATGCTGGGTGAGTTCCATCTTTTTTTTTAATTCCCTGAGATAGTGCTGACCGACCCAGCCATTATGTTGCCTTCACGCGTAAAACTGTTCCTGGGGAAAGACAGCCGTCTTGGGTGCTATTTAATGACGAAAAGGTGGTGAAAATAGACAATGTGGAGGAGATGAAGCAATATGCTTATATCTATTTTTTCTCCCGATTATGATAGTAGCTCGTCTTCAAGCGTCGGCTTTTCTCTGCAAAAAGACTCGAATGGTTGACTGTCAGTGGGCGTAGAACCCGCCTTTGAGTGTTTGCTGATTTCCTGTGTCAAATAGACATATTACTTTTAAGACAAAAAGAGCCTATGTTGATTGATTGATTGATACGCGGGTCTGTTGGCCAATTTGGCCAAGTGCCAGCAGGTCACGTAAGGCAGTAAGCGTCCTGCCTATGTGCAGTCTGTGTGCTACCTACTTTAGACTATATACAAATAAGGAAACCTAAGCAAAAAAAATAAGGTACTGTTTATAAGTAGAGCCTGTAGGCTGAAAAGCGTTATAGTTATTTATAAAAGCAAAAATTGCTAATGTTAGCCTAAAAACAAAAAAACAATAAAAAAAATGTACATTAAGGAATAAAAAAAAGAAAAGTAGCGAGCATAGTATGAGAAGTGCAAAGCTGCAGCTTATAGTCCTTTTTGCATTATTATTACTATAGTATGCTTATAAAAAGTGCTAAAAAGTAAAAAAGGACTATCTAGTTAATTATTATGACAGGCTGCAACAGCTTCTAGGTCATAATCCTCCTAATAAGGGTTGTGTATAAGACATTATATTAGGGAGGAAAAGAAGAAGGCCTGTGGCCATATGTGCAAGGAGGTTAATATAGGCTCTTTGTCATGGCTCTCTGGC